CAGTGCTTTGCTTTATTTACTTTTTGTGAATATTTTGAATTTTTCATTAATATTTAAAGATATTTTGCTTTTTAATCACCACCAAAATAGAAACGTTTTACAGATGTAACACTTTGTGTGTGTCTCTGACTCTTTCTTTCTCTGTCTCTGTATTTCTCTCTTTTTTCTCTGTCTGTCTGTCTTGCCCTCTTTCTGTATCTCTGTCTCTCTCTCTCTCTCTGTCTCTCTCTGTCTCTGTCTCTCTCCTCTCTGTCTCTCTCTCTCTCTCTCTCTCTCTCTCTGTCTCTCTCTCTCTCTCTGTCTCTCTCTGTCTCTGTCTCTCTCCTCTCTGTCTCTCTCTCTCTGTCTCTCTCTCTCGCTGTCTCTCTCTCTGTCTCTCTCTCTGTGTCTCTGTCTCTGTCTCTCTCTCTCTCTCTCTCTCTCTCTCTCTCTCTCTCTCTCTCTCTGTGTGTGTGTGTGTGTGTGTGTGTGTGTGTGTGTGCGCGTGTGTTGTACTGGGAATCAATCCTGGACCTTAGTATACTAGGCAACTTCATGACCATTGAGCTCCATCTTCAGCTCTAATAATTTAAGTTGTTATTCTGTTATTTCAAAATTGAGAACATTGGCCAGCAACAGGAGTTTCTTTTTCTAACTCTAATTTTTGATGCTAAACATTTAATTTTTAAAATGTTGTTGGTGCTAATCTGAAAACAGGTTAATTTGGTTCAATAAGAGAATTAAGTGAGATTTCAAATGTAGAAGGAACTTTCTGAACTAATGTAGTTTCATATGTAAGTATAGGCCTAATGTTGATAATTTTACTTTAGTCATAATAACTGACGACTCTTTTATCGTGAATACTATGTTCCTAAATTAACTAAAATCTTCAATAATTTCCACGAAAGATTTTTCTTTGTCCTGTGACAATTTGGATTAAATTGTCAATTTAAAGTGATTACATATTAGGAAATACAAAGGCAAGAAATATCCTAATACGTATTTAAGAATAATAGGATTTTACAATTTCTTCAATATTAAATTGAACTTAATAAGTTCCTTGAAGGAAAATGCATCTTTTAAACTAATTATCTGTTCTGTGTATTCTATTTAATATTAAAATGATACCGATTAAATAAAATCAATCACATTCATCTGTACTCACATCTCTCATTGATTAAATAAAAATATACTGTTCCTGTATTAATTCTAATTAAAAATATATTACATTGAGAATTATATACTCGAGATAGTTTTCAAAACTAAAACATTTATTCTTTTCATCTTCAATATTTAAAAATATGTACAGAAGAGAGGGAAAGTGGTAATATGATACCTGAAAATGTGTTCTGAAAAGTAGCAACTGATTTTTCTTCTGCCCGAGGCCTTAATGTAATCTGAGAAGAGGTTACCTGTGACAGCTGATTTAATAGCCACCCTTTACCTACTCATTCTGTTTGTAAGGTAGCTCTCAGATGGGGCATTTCCATCATTTTTACACTTCAACAAGTGTCTCTAAGGAGGCAGAGAAGTTCTCAGACTGGTGTCTTCCTGCTTTAGGTGTTGATGCCACCTGACCTGGAGTAGGCCTTCAGTTTTGCTTGCTTCTCTTTCTCATGATTAATTACTCTATTCCAATGCTCAGAAAAATTCAGCCAGCCTCCTTATTGTCTCCATGTCCACACCTGTCTGTAAGCCTAGAGACTCTGAGATGATAGAAGATCCCTCCAGATTTAAGGAAGAGGAAGTTCCCATATTAGTATCCACAAACTACTAATTCAAGACAAGTGATAGCAAAGTGACAGAGGGGTTTTGAGTTCTTTCTGCAATAGATTTTTGTTTGACTTTATGCCTGAACCATTGAGGGGTTTGTTTGCTTGTTTTTGTTTTGGGTGGCGGTTTTTGCCAATATTTTATATAGCTTTGGCTTTTTTCTTCAGTTCTTAGGTCTTTTTCTCACATTTGTATTACTTTTTCACCCCTGTGGGTTTTTGCATTCAGAACCTTGTGAGATTAACTACACAACTGTATCTTTTAACCATCACACACTGTTTTCCAGCAGCCTGCTTACCTATATTTCCTCATTTGTAGGAAAAGAACTTTAAGTCACCATGAAAACAAATCAGATTATTTCTCTCTTATATAATCTATGTATAGCCATTACTTTTTTCCAAACCTAGAAACTTCATTGCTTTTACCAGAATAATGTACATATTTTTATTTTCATGTCACTATGGAAATAACCTAATGTATATTTAAAATCTAGAATGGAAATGTAGCACATAACTTATTTTCTACAAATTTTGCAATGCTTACCAAACACAGTACAGTGTATACTAGGAACTATAAAATTTATATTCAATCACTGCTATTAATTTTGTTATGCAACTATAAGTGTTTCTTCATATGTAAATCTGTATAGTCATATTAATACATTTCATCTGAATGAAATGCACTTATATGTATAAATACTGCATACCATATACATAATAAGTACTTTGCACACCTATATACATAACCTATATTCCTTATTAACTTGCAGTTTTAGAGAAAATCACATCTACTGTGATGCAAATTCCTTAACATGTGATGCAAATTCCTTAACATTTCAACAAGCACCTTCTACTATTGAGCACAATTTTCTGCTTAGTAAATTTTTTATATTTACACCCTTGAAAACTAGCAGCAATTCCCATGTATCCTGCCCATATTTAAATATGTGTGCGTATTCTAAAACATATGTTCTACTGCTTTTATTTGCTTATTTAGCTGTTAGCAAAAGGGGTGCCATTTTAGATGCATGGATTATATTTAGTTGTTATCCTGAACAATTTATTGCACCACAACCACCTCATTTAGCTTCCTAATAAGTTGCTTCGTTATACAAGCGAAGAAGAATGTACTTTTCTAAGTTGGAAACAGGGTCCTTGAGAAATGTCTTATCCTGGTTGCTCATGAGTCTCACAGTTCCCTGATTCATGGCATAAATCTGGATAAAGATCAATACAAGATAGATGATTAATATGGCTGACATAGCATTGAACTGACTTTGGTGGAAAGAGCACATTTTGTCCATCACTCATTGACTCACCTGTACGACACATTGAGTGTGTTAGAAGCCACGATTGTTATTAAAATCAAGAATGTCTCAGTGAAAACTCCTCCAAGCCTCTTGTAAATCCATCTTTAACATAATACAAATTTCTTCTGTACATTTTTCTTGTCAGTGAGATATTTGACCAGAGGACTTTCACACAATGTAATGACATTTTAATCAGAAATCTGTGGCAGCAGTATTTGCTACTCATGTTATAGAAGGGTCTTCTAAATACAGTTGTAGTTAGTAAACGTTCATTTCTTGTAAAACTCTCTGAGATACATTTCCAGGTGCATCAGATTCCTTTCTTTCTACTGTGCTGTACATCTCTGAGGGTGCCTTGGGTTTTTACCCATCTTAGACATAGGTATACATTCATTATTTACATTTATTATTTGTTTCTAATTTCCTACTTTTCATAGAGTTCTACGGGTTAAGAGAGTAAAACAGAATTCTGTATGTCTGCTCTTTTAATACCCACCATGGTAATCCAACATTATCTGGATCTTTCTTCACCTGGCCTAGAACTGGAGAGGGAGATGGAATATAATTATATACATATACGTAAGAAATTCAAGGTTAAAAAATAGGAAATTTTATTCGGTATTTTGTGTGTAAGATTCAACTATCTTTACAAATTGGTATTTTATATAAGTTCCACAGAAGCCATGATTGCAGGCTTTTGGAAGTTATTAATCTTCTGTTTGTTTATTTTCACACATGTGAACACACACACAGACATGTATGCACATGTGCACACACGTTTCTAAGGTACTAAGAAAGTCATGGCAGTGGTATATAATGGAAAAGTACTCTCATGAAGGCTACAATTTTTGGATTAGCTTAATTTTTTAAAACTACTTTCAAATAAGAGGTTGGTACTTATTTAATTACACACAAGTTGTGCAATTTATTAATAGTGATGGAATTTACTAATAGTAAAAGGTTTACTAATAGTAATAGACTTTATTAACAGTAATGTTTCATATTATGGAAAGAGGCAAGTACCATTGGTTCTGCATGCATCCAAAAGGCAGAGTCTATAGGAAGAGATGAGAGCTTGCTGGAAAATGGAATGCTGGTATTGATAAGGAGAAAGACATAAAGTTATAGGGATTGCTATATGAAGGTCTGTGCCAGTTGAGAATGAGTTCTTTCACAAACAAAGCCATCTTTGGAGGTTCCTTATCTCATAATGTTGTGTCAAGACTTTTTAATTTATAAAATATTTTATTTATTAATACTTTTACATATCTTTTCACCTTACAGGTCCTTTGTGTATGTATTCTGTCTTCTGGTTTTGTGTTTCTATCGGATTCCCAAGTGTATATATGAGTGGGTCGCTTGTATCTATCTGTTTCTTATGCCTTTTCTTGGGTTCTTTTCAATGTGTTTGATTGCTTTGTCCTGTTCTAATGTAATTGCTTTTGTTTTGCTTTACTTCGTTTTATGATTATTCCCTAGAAGCCATAGAAAGGAGATGGATCTAGATGGGAGGGAAGGTTGGGAGACATTGGGAGGAGTAGAGGAAGGGGAACTATAATCAGAATATATTATTTGAAAACAATATTTTTAAGTAAAAGAAAAAAGACTCTTAATGATTAAGCTAATAATTAAATTGATATTAATAAATTGCCACTGTAAAAATAAAGTATATGCACAAAGGCAATGGAAGCTAGTGTAGTGGGCAGGAGTGGTTGTCAGTGTAGTCTGAATAAATGAAGGCACCCTTTGGTAAGGTATTTTACAATCTTACATAGTTTGCTTTGAACATTTCTTATTTAATCCGGGGATAGAATATATATATGAAGAGACTATGGTTCCAGTTCATGCATCTTACAGATATATCATAGTATGGTAATATCATTGGTGTTTTCTTTTCAGCTTTAGTTTTTCTGCTTTTATATAAACTTCTCTTTTTCAGCAGACTATGCCCACTGCAGGAGTTTCAGTTCCTGAGGTATGTAAGAAAAATGCAATAACTGTTACAACTAAAAGTCATGATCATCTTATATTGATATAAAGGACATTTTCATTGATTCTAAATAGGTAACATTAATACTTTAAAATTAATACAATAATGTTAATTTCTATTTGTCAACATTTAGATATTAGAAGTAAAATTACCTGTATTTTCAGTTATGGAGTAGTCTTAAATAATTATCAATATATATTTGTGACAACATGAGGAATAAAGAAATTATATATCACAAAATATCTAGAGATAATTAAAAGTTACTTTGCTAAGAGTATGACCATAATTCATTGTATTCATATATGAAGTTCTCAATATCAATGGTAAGGACATGGCAAAAAACCAAGTCACTTAAAGTCTTTGATACATTAGTATGTTGCACTTGATAATAGTGTGCTGAGGGACTTTTGCACACGTGGCAGCAGCCAAAACTTGAACAGAATTGCTAAGAAAGTGTTATGTAGCATACAGCTTTGAACACAACTTCATTAGAACAATATGTAGCCAGAAGTAAATGCCTTTTGTTTGAAAATAATTATAAGTTTTGCCACAACTTTTAGTTAATTATTTAATGAAATTTTGTTTGGTCATTTTATTAATGAAGCCAATCGCCCACTTTGCTCTATGATAATATCCTACTTAATAGTTACTATCTCTACAGGAACTGCCAGGTGGGTTTTTTAGCATTAAAATTAAATCTACTTGCTTAGGAATGGATTGTTTATAATATATAATACCGCAGAGAAACACATTTAATCAAATAATGGTTTAATTGTATACACCATGCTCTGACCTCCCTACCAACAAACAGTTATTTTACAGGATAGACTGGTTCTAATGATTAGCACAACACTACTCAGTTTTAATGAGAAACTCGATAGAAAATATACTTGAAGATCTTTTTGATATATGATGAAAGAAATATAAAATAGTGTTTTTCAGTAAATTGACTTCATTGTATCAACTTAATATAGGGCAGACATGATAGATTATATACAAAAGTGACAGAAAATTTTAAAAACTAATCATTTTATTGTTTTCAGAAGGGTGAGAGAATTGATTTTACATTTTCCAGTCCCTGTCTTTATGCCTGCCCCTCCTGTAGGTCTGGCAATTGACAGCAAACTAAAGTCTCCATCATTTAGCTTTGTTCAACTAGACAGGTACTCTTATTTTCCACAAATTGTAATTCAAAGTATCTGTTATTATAATATGCTATTTCAGGTTTAAAGACAGAAATTTTATATATTGTATTTTTTAAAGTCTCCCTATTGTATGGTTCTTTTTCATAGTAAGATACACTGTTCTTTATACATTGTAGTTTTTCACTAACCCTCAAAACTATCCATTTTGATGTAAAATACTCATAAAGTTAGATATAGACATATGTGTGAGGGAACACATACTCACTCCATGTGCATACTTAAGTGCTAGTCTATAGAACAACTTCTAACAGGTTAACTGAAATACATTTAAAATAGTAAAAGAACACAAAGAAATGTGCACATGTTAAGCATTTAACTATTAAACTATTAATAACTGGTTACTCCTTTTACCGGGGACTTTCCTATGAAGCCATCTTCTAATTAGCCAAGCACAGTATTTCTTGAATATAGCATGGCATTGTCCCATGGCATTTTCAGTTGTTTTAAAGTACTACAAAAATTCAAGGCATCTGTGCAATAATATCATTATTGTTATTATTCATTCCCCAAAACAATTTTGTCTGCATATAACTGGAATACCCCCCCACACACACACACAGTTTCCTAAACTGTTTCTATGCAGAGCTTTCATCCTAATTTTTATGGCAACAAATCTTTCAATTTATATTCTCTTTTTGAAACAGTGAGTAATAATTAAATTCCAACTCCTCTTGTGAAAATAAGAAAATTTACTTAAAACTAGCAGAACTGTATCAAGAATGCCACAGGAGCCACTACGTTGAACTTTGAATTTAGTTATGAGGGTGAGCACACTTGAGCTCTGCCTCCCATCTTGAAGGTTCTGAAACTGTAGATGGAAGGCTGCAGCCAGAAGGCAGAATGCTTACAGAAGGATGAGTAAGCTTGTCAGGCCTGCTTTTACTTTATACATGCCATGGTGTTATTTTATAATTGTGCTATCATATGTTAGTATAAACTAAAAATTAAATTACTTAGACATTCTTTAAGTTTGTTCTTTCGACTTAGGATTTTATAATGGAAATACTGTACCATATATTCATCTTTAAGTTATCTGGGAGTATGCAAACCTTATATGAGATTTTAAACCCAACATATGTAGTTCACATCATAAAACACACTTTCAGGTTTAGAGCATGAATACCACCACCTAGAGCAACTTAAACTAGGCTGCAGTGCCTTCTGATTTGTGGTATCCTACTATCTCCAGACAGATATGCAATATCATAACAGTAACTACTCCAAATTAGGAGGACTCAGTAAGCAATGATAGCACCGCAGTGCTTCCTACATCACTGCTTACTACAGCACACAACCTCAGCAACATGTGACAAACTTAGTGACAACATGTAGGAAGGCTTTACTCATTGTTTAAAGTATTGCCTCTTACTGAACTGTTATTTTATGCCAATAACAGTGTCTCCATTTTCTCTGTTGATACTGGCTGAAATCTTCCCACTGTTAAGGTGATGGAAATGGTGACTCTGCATTGGAAAAGAATGTGCCTAAGCTCTGACCCCTTTTCTGTTACCTTCCTATGACCAGTGCAGGCACACAAGTGTTATGAATACACACATGCAAGCAAACCACTCATACACATAAAATTAAAGAAATTAATATAAAAGAAGAATTTAATAAGAAATAAGATTCAGATAGCATTAGATTTTGTGCCATTCCTTTTATGTGTGCTTAACTTTTTAAAATAAGTTTAATTAAGACTTCTGGCCATAACTAAATTTTACTATAACCTCCAAGGAGACCCAATAGATTTTGAGATTTTGGCTTCTTTGAGGTAAATCTGACCAGGAAAATATTCAAACTTTAGAGTAGGTCCCTCAACTGGCGAGTATAGCTGTGGAACTGGGTTTTTTGTTTTGTTTTGTATATGTTTTTGTTTTTTTGGAGCTTATTTATGTCTCAAAGGTGTTAATTTTGTGAGCTCTGATGTATGGACAGGACTCCTTAAGTTCCTTAAACATGAAAATGAAATGGGTTAAGATGACAGCATTTGTGGGTGATTTCTCTGGCCTTTCTGCAGTCTCAGACAGGGTGGTAATCCTATGCAGACCAATCATGTTGGGGCAAGTTCTGGGATCCAAGCAATAGCTGCTGCTAACTGCAGAGCATTCTTCTTTGGGCTTTGTATGAAGCTCTGTGACTGCCTGTCTCTCATGCTGAGTTTGCACAGAAAGGAGAAAGTCCTGCGCTCGAGGTAATCATCACTTGCTGCTCATATTTGTCAAGTGATCGATAGCAGCAGGCTTAAGTATTGTCACGAACATCTCTTTTGAGGGAGCAGTTTTCACCAATGTACAAATACTAAGCTTCTTAGAGTCAGCATGGGACAGAAAAAGCTTGTTTGTAGAGCATATATTTTAAGCGAGGTCTTTATATTTCATTTATTCCATCATTCTGTTTTCTGTGAATGGTGCCTGGCTTTTCTGCTCTGTTTGTTATGATGATTATTCTTCTGGAATTCAAATACAATGCATTCCCCCGTTAAGATCTGTTGCTTGACTGGTAGACCCTGAGAAACACTAAATATTGAATTCTGTGTTTAAAATGTCTGCATAGCAAACACAAGAGTTGATATTTGAAAATGCTCAAATATCAATAACTGTATTTTCCACTTTGTAGTTTAAAGTTCTATTTTTGTGGTCTTTTAGAGCAGTTCTTTTCAATGTTTGAATAATTTCTATTGACTAAAGGAATATTTTTCCCACTATTTTTTATCTTGGATAATTTTTCTGACAGGAAAATGTGTCTTAATTTGTGGTTTAGAGCTCAAAAAACTGAAAAAAAAAATGAAACTTCAGGTTAAAAGGCAAACCCAGCCTGCAATTGTTCGCAAAGCATTTTCCTGTGTGATGTTGGCAGTGGGGGGATGGAAAGCTCTTCCTGAAACTGAGAGTTTTAACATTGGAAATTCACTTTCTTAATATCACAATGGAATTTTCCAGGCAAGGTTAATGTACTCTTAGATTGACAGATGAAACAAAATGTTCTGGGTAGTATTTTTCAAGCATATAAGTCTTTCCCTTCCTTGGCCCTACCTCATAGGAGAAGAAAATAAGTAAGGTTTTTCTAAGTGGACATGAGAGACTGTGTCAAACTACCATCTCTGTTAACTTATGTTGCATACATAAATACCACAAATGTCTCAGAAAACTCCTAGATAGTTTGGAAACAGATGTTAAACAAATGAGTATTACAGTGAGCAAACACTGGGAGCAATTAAATGATTAGATTCTTCTGCCCTTTTATTTACAGTCTTGATTACTTCTCCAAATTAAGACCACTAATATTCCATACCAAACTAAGAAATACCCTTGTTTTTCTTGATATACTTATTTTAAATTAATGTTTACTATTTTAGTATTGGTAAATTATACATGGAAATATACAATAAACAGCATGTGCCTTTTTGTAGTGTGGGCTTTGAGAGACAAGGCACATGCTCTAACCCAGTCATCCCTTCCCTCTCTACTGAAGATTTTGGAAATTTCTTTATAGGATATTTTCATATAACTCTAGATTGCAAAAATAATATTCCATCAACTGAAAACTGAATTTTGAGTTTTAATATTTTTAATGTTTCACATTAAACCGCATATTAAACAGCTCTACAGCATTTATTTAATACTCCGCACAGGCAGTCCAGGAAAATGGTTCATTTATTCTCTGCTTTTAATGCCATTTGTAGGGTCTCAGCCCACATGGGTTTTCCTGCTTTTGTAGATAGCCAATGATGATAATAACGGAAAAGCAACTTTGGTAGATATCTACAGTCCAGTGTTTCTTGTTAAACATTTTCAGTGTGGTACACCCCCCCACCCCGCACACGCACGCGCGCGTGCACACACACACACACACACACACACACACACACACACACACACACACACACATACACACACTGCAAAATTATCACTTACAAAGCAACTAACCACCATGTGTTTTATTTGATTCTTCTTATGTTAACACTTTAGAAAATTAATGCTAACTAACAATTAATGTATTATATGGCAGAACCATTGCTTAGAAGTATCTTTCACACTGTAGCGTAATGACCCCATTCTGACATCAACCGACCCAGATATAAATTATTTTATCTCCATACATCATTATGTTATGTTTTTGAACTGACACAGTTGAGCATTTTCATATTCAAGCACTAACCTGGGTTACTTGAAATGTGTCTGATATAGTGAATGATTATTTTCATCAACATGAATTTGAAACAATGAATTTCTTTCTCATAGAAATACCAGTAAGCTCCTGAAGGGGAAGCACACCTATTTTTTTTAACTTATTTGTACTTTGTGTTTATTGGGCACATACTCTAAAGGAGGTAGAGTACTCAAGAATTTATAGATATTTTTTCTAGTAAATCTAGACAACTCTGTAAAGTTGAAATTATCACAATTTTGGAAAGGAGCTCAGGATTATGTAGTGTTTAATCAGCAGAGGTGTGATTCAACCCATGCTACCTAATTTCTAATCTCATTCTGTAATGGAATCTTCATACATATAGTAATGTTTAGAAATATCTGTGGATAAAGTAATAATTTGTAAACTTAGAAAAAGAACTATTACAAAAATATCACTGCTTACCAGAAATTATGGTTATATTAAAAAAAAACAACATTTTCATTGTATGAAAAGAAGCCATAAAGAATTTAAAATAGAGGAATATTAGCCATATAAGAAATACATTCAGTGAATTTGCAAGGTAAATGAAATATATTGATTATTATTTTATTCCAAGAAGATTTCATATATATAATATAATATATGAACATGTGTTCATATATATATTATTTAAAAATAACATTTCTTTTATAACTACATAAGAATATCATTCCAAATTATAGAATGTAAAATCCCATATTAACAAGTATCTGAAGTTAATATGACATGTATATGAAGTAGTAATAAGATGTATCTGGGCACTAAACAACTAAAGTACCCATGGCTAGACTTTACTAATGAATTATCAGAATGTTTCTCATTGAAACTGGATATCATCCAAGAGTTCTAAATGCAGTGTCTAACTAACTTCAGAAAATTTAGTGTTTAAATCTTAGTTGTTTGTTTACCTTGAATGTTACCAGACAGTGAATAAGGTCTGTGTTTATCAGTACATCAACATTCTCTTCTATATGGGACTTTGATTACAAATTCTTCAGTACTAATAAAATTGGCACTGAAGCAAAACTCAAAAGAATAGAGAAGCCTCTACCAGTAAGCCAGAAACCTGAATGCCAAGACCAAGTTTTCAAAATATTCAAAGCCAGTTTTGCAAAGTGAAGAACAATTACAGGTGTCCTAAATTAGAAGGGTGGTTGTACTCATCAAGGGACAATGAGGATGCCAGTGCAGCTAGATAGAGCAAAAAGGGACTTGTCAGATTTAAAGAGTACTGACTATGGTAAGATAAAAGGATTTTTGTCTACTAGGTGATGACTACAAAAATGTAGAGAAAATGATAGTATTATGCTTATTAAGACATTGATGGATAGTTTATAGTTGTTCAAGGATTGTTAAGTGTTTTGGATTCTTAGAGAGATTGAAAGAGCATTTGTATATAAGAGCTAAGTTTTAGGGTGAGATATGAATTGAAATTATGCATTTAGACATCTTCATAAAATTGTAATTGAAAGGTATGTGCCGCAAAGAAGTTACCTTGGAAGCAAGTATATGCTGTCAAGAAGATTGGACAGAGGAAAGGTTTATTACAGATTCCAAAGAGGATAAAATAATAATATCAAATGATACTGAGCCAGCACACAGTGGAGTATGTCAAGAGACATAAGGAGGAGCCATATCCTCAAAGCAGAGTGAGGCATGAGTTCAAGAAGTAGGAAGACATTCATTCTGTCAAAAGCTGTAGTTTAGATGGAGAATTCCATTCAGTGTGTCGATAAGAAGCTTATTGATGATTTTAATGAAAGCTGAGTAATGGTGATAATTGCTAATTGGTTTAAAAAGATAAAAAGTGAATAAAGAAGCAAGCAATTATTATTCTATATAAATACTCACACACATTATATGTATATTTACTTGTTCTTCTGTTTATTTCATTATGGGAAAAAAAGGAATTAGAAGGAGTAGAAACAGAATTTCCTAATACAACAGTCCCTAATGTACACAGAAGCCTCAAAATTCATCATCCAGTTAAGAATCATTTTCAGTATTGAATGTATTTATAAGTAGTATTTTAGAAATTATCAAAAATCTTTATGTTTTTATCTAGTTATCCTATTGTTTAAAAACTAATAAATTGTAATAATTCTCACATATTTTTGATACTGGGTGTGCCTGGATCATTCCACCTTTGATATTTTTCCCCATGTTTCTTTAACAGATATAATATTTTGATTATGTTGTTACAAAATACATTGATTTGGTTGAAAGAAAAACTTTTTGCACTTTTCAGAACACATTCCAGATTATCTATTTGGGCACAAGTTTACAAACATGGAGGTCTTTTAAAAGAGTCCCCTTTAAACCATTTCTGCCTCTTAATTTTTAATGTAATTTATCAAATATATTATATATTTTTTTCTTTTTACAGGAAAGACAATCAACAGCTAAAAAGGAAAAGGGCAGCTCCCAGCAGCCAAATAAAATGACAGACAAGAACAAAATGCAAAGAGCTAACTCTGTTACTATGGACGGACAAGGTTTGCAGGTAAGGGTTTCGAGAGTCCAAATTATAGTAGCATTCATATTTGTTACTTTCTTATTCTGAGAGGGCATATGTTCAGTTATCAACACATTCTTTCATCATTTATATTATCTCAGTAGACTTCTTTAAAAAGATCATTATTAATTTATCAAAATGTCAGTCTGATACTTGATTGACAGAATGACATTCTGGGTAGATTAATCATTTATAATGTTATTTCTATTTAAATTGAAATTGGCAAAAAATCTTCTGTGAGTCTGAAAGTTAGAACTAATATATAACTTTGTTATGTACACATGTGTTATTTACACCTATTATCTGACTCTCTCTAGTTATAATCACACACACACACGTAGACTCACATGCACATGATGGATTTGATTTTGAAGAGTTAATTAGTAGTGAAATTATGCCTTTAGGAAAGAAAAAATGCATTCTGTGTAAAGATTTTCTTTTAAATAAAATAATAAAATGAGGTATTAAGTTAACATATACATATTTCTAAATCTTAAATTAAACTCAAATGCCATACATATTTCTAGGTTTGACAACGAGAAGTGGCTGAAATTTTTTATAAATCTATGAATTCTAATTGTGACCTCTGACATAAAAATCCATCTTATGCACCTACATTATAAAATACTTTGTGTAATGAGTCCATTTAACTAATTTCCTCATGCTAGTAAAAAATGATTATTTGTTAACAACATCGTTTTAATCTTTAGACCTGTGTGATTATCTCATTTTTTCATCTACATGTTTGTCTGAATTGTATTTTCTTCTCTTCTTAATGTATTTGAAGTCTCAGCCTTCTTAGCAAATGCTTACCACATGGATGGCTGTGGCACACATTTGCATGCCAATAATGTGATTCTAATAAATATTCATTTTAAATAGATTTAGTTAATGATTTTATCTTTTGTAATTGTTATTTTATTTATGATACTATCACATAATATAACCCATAATAAGTAACACAGTTAAGAGTAAACCGAATATGTCTAATAATTGCTTGATTAGGTCATTGAAAAGTTCATGAAACTTAATAGTAATTGTAATAACATCTCACCTTGCCAATAAATTTGTGTTAGTGGCCATAGCCCTTTGGCCATGGCTTCAGGTGAGGATGTGACCAGAAGGTAGAGAAGCACAGGGATGCCTCTCTAAATATAGTTAAAAATAGTTTTTACTTGATAACTGTTTTGATATATATAAGAGTTTTTATTTTATAACTGTTTTTATATATATATATATATATATATATATATATATATGTGTGCTTAAAGTTAAATCCTATCTTTTTATTTAGACAGAAAAGAGGAGATGATGGGGGATGTCCTTTTGTATATATGTTTCTCTTATTGGTTGATGAATACAACACTGTTTGCCAAATAGAGGCAGGAAGATATGCAGGGCTAGGAGACGAGGAGAATTCTGGGAAAGGTAGATAGACAAAGAGCACAAAGAGACCAGGTAGGAGAGGAAGGAGTCCAGACCCTTTGCCGGTAAGATAAGACCATGCAGAAATACTTAGATTAATAGAAATGGATTAATAATTAAGACAGAACTAGTCAATAAGAAGCCCTACCCATCATCCAACAGTTTAATAATTGATATATGTCTCTATGTGCTTATTTGGGGCTGAGAAGGGCACCAGGACATGGCAGGACAAGAAACTCCAGCAACAAATAATTGCTTACCTATTGGCAATGACAATTTTTTACTCTCATAAGATACATTACAAATAGAAACTCCTGAGTAATTAAATATAAGCATAAAAAGAAGTTTTAAAGAAAAGCTATTATATTCATGTACATAAAATTCAAATATGAAAGACTATGTATGGGTATCTTTTTTGGAAATCATATACGTATGTTTAATAATTTTGCATGTGACTAATCTCAAGTTTGAAATCTATCCACAATTTTGATGAAAAACTTTTACTGTGTGATCCCATAGATATTTACCAAGCAGATTGGTTTAAACTGTTAATAACTCTGGGTTACTGCCTAAAAGCTCAATTTGTAAATCTAAGTGCATTTAACACATGCTTAGGTACATATTTCTCATCATGAAAAACAGGCATGAATCATTTGCTTATGCTCCATGACACTATGGCATTTCTCTACATATTTGCATAGCTTAAATCTGTTTGATGATTCTCTCTACTAACATAAACTTGGTGTCATTATATTCTCGTTTTCATTTTAGAAACTATTGTTTTGATGCTCTAAATTTAAAAAAAAAAATTCTCCATTTCCTTGCCAATAGTAAGTGGTAGAGCCAAAGTCTGACTGAGGAATGCCTTGACTTAGATTCTGTGTATTTTACTCCTGCAATATATTTTATCTTACTCAACAAATCCAAATGTGTATGTGTTAAACTTCTGGACACTTTGCTCTCTCGTGCATTTTTTATATTGTTTCAAGGTCTTCAAAAACAGTAATATATTCACCGGAGCAATAATGTCTGTGTTTTCTATTTCCAAAGATTAAATAGTCAAATTTGAAAATTCCCTGTTTAAAACATGAATTGAATGGTGCATGCAGAATAACATGAAAGTTTTGTATGGTGCAGTGATATTAGTTGTATTTTAATATTACATGAGACAAAGCTGACATATTTAGAATTCTATGTACATGGATGTTAATATTAAAACACAGATGATCAATATTTTTATACTTGTAGTTCTAAGACAATAATAACCTTCATAACAATGTTGATAAGTGAAATTATCAGATAAAGTTTTCAGTTGGCAAATGCAAACCTCACTTCAGACAACATAGTAGCAAATAAATAAAACTGTGAATTTAAAAATGTTTAAGTTAATTTGGTGTTTTATCCACTACATAACTGAACTCATCTTGTATGTGGAGTATGTGGAAATTTGCATAGTTTTGAGGAGAATGTAAAAATAAAAAAAAAATCTTTAATAATTATTTTATGCAAAATGGAAAATATATTATGATTGTTTATCAATTTTGGAACAAAATCATTATTGGGTTTTTTGAGGTAAGATAAAAATATATACTAGAAAATTACTTTTCTGTGAGCTTTAAAAGGTCTATGTCATGGAAAATCATTGAATTGCAGCCCAGTTTGCATATAACTCATTGACAGGAGAGGTCTATACTGCTTAAAGAAGATTAATCATAGTTAGGCACATTCATCTTCCTCCTTTTCAGCTAACCAGTATAATGATCAGGATTATTATTTCTAATTAGAGGAAGTAATAGATCATGCATAACCCTAGGATGAGTCTCATTAATTAACCCAAGTCCTAGGGGACTTCAAATAGCTGTGGCTTGGCACTCTGTCTTTGTCATTGCTCACACCGTAGGTTTACACTTCAAACACAATATCAAATGTAATAGAAATGTCATTTTTTAACACATGAGAACTTTAAAAATAATGAGAACAATCTGATGTGTGAACAAATAAGGAAGAAAACAATAATTGGTTAAAATTTATTATGAGATATTTATCTTGATCCTAAATATTCTGCAAAATTTCTGAGTAAAATTATCACCGGAGAATGAAAGAATCTAGCTTGTAAGACTTCAAATCTATAACAAAGTGACCTTAATACTTAATATCATAATCCAAACTGTATGTTCTTCCATACAATTCATTTACCCTGTTATCTTTCTAACTTTATGTTTGATAATCACCAATAAACTAAATATAAACACATGTACTATGATCACTAACTAGTATACATGCAAGTCAATTCAATTCTTTGTTCAGTTTTTATAATGCCCTAATCTTATTAATTCTTTTCTGATTGTTCTTCATAATCATCCTACTCCCTTTGTATGTGCAAAGTTATTGGTCTATAGTTTTGAGAACTACAACTTTTCAGCGGGGTGCAGTTTGGTGGTGGTACATTCCTTTAATCCCAGCACTCAGGAGACAGAAACAGGGAGATCTCTGAGTTTGAGACCAGCCTGGTTTGCAGAATGAGTTCCAGGACAGCCAGGCCTACACAGAGAAACCATACCTTGAGTGGAGGGCTACAACTTTCCAACTGAGTTCCCCTGTCCATTCAAATATTATATTATAAATAATATGCAAGACAAATCTGAGAAAGACAAATATCAGAACATAAATTTGGAGTTGTATATAGCTAAGGAAAACAGCCAAGAAGGTAATATATGGGTAACTAATTCAAATTGGTAAGATCATTAGCCATTTGGATTTAGGGGAAATGGGCACCTCTAATTACTGTCAAGAATATGAATCCCAAGGAACAACAAGAACTACATAGAAAGAAGGCTATGAGAGATAGCCAACACAGAAAGTTGTAGATCATACTATAGAGAAGTAACAAGTACTTGGTGTTCTAAGTCCTAGAAAGGTTTCCTGCACATGTTGACTTTTGATGCGAACAGAAAAAGGATATGATTCCCGGTGTAGTTTAAAAGTGTCACTCTAATTGTTAAGATTAGTTTATTAGAGAATTGGTTGGCCAGTGCATAACTATCATGAGCAATTAAAGTTTATAGGATTAAAGGCTCACCATAGAGCTTTGTAACTACCTTGAACTGTTAAAGATTGTAGGACTAAAGGCTCGCCATAGAGCTTTGGAGGAAGAGAAATGTTATAGGACCAGAATAAGAGTGGTGAAATGATAGCTAAATGGATTGTTTGTATGGAACTGGCAGTGACAAAAAAAGACAGAGTTGACAACAACTGAAATGCTGAAGACCTTGGGTGATTGTGGTTTGAGGAGAAATTCCTGATGCTCAAGAATATAACACTATGTAGTCAGACCAACAGATAAGTGTATAATTTGAGGGAAAGAATAACTAGGGATTTTTATGTAAAGCATGTCCTGATACTCAGAATGATTGAATAAAATGAGATTACTGAAGTCAGGTGCCTAGGTAGGGAGGTATTGAACTATCTTAAGTCCAGAGTCACATTCTTTAAATTTACAGTATCAGACTGCCCCTATATGAGAATAAGGATGACATAAAATGATAAAATCTATGCAACATAGA